AGGGCTTGCGTGTGGTCCCAGTGCCACCTGCTGGAGACTCCCTGGGTGATCCAGGAGCTGCCAGAGGTGCAGGTTACAGGGGGATGGATGGATGCATGCGTGCTAGGTGGCCGCTTTGTTAGCATTCCCATCGTGCTGATGGGTTTGTGTTTTCCTGTGGCACGTCAAGTCCTTGATGTCATCCAGAGGAGTGACCAGGACACCTGGCCTCGCAAACTCAACTACTGCATCTCAGAGCAGAGAGAATCGCTCCTTAGCTTTTGTCTTGTGCTCTGCTGTCCTCTTGTGCAGGAGTTAAACAAGAAGCGGACCCAGAAGGAAATGGAGCATGCCATGCTGATCCGGCACGATGAGTCGACACGCGAGCTGGAGTACAGGCAGCTGCACACGCTGCAGAAGCTGCGAATGGACCTGATCCGGCTGCAGCACCAGACTGAGCTCGAGAATCAGCTGGAATACAACAAGCGGCGAGAGCGGGAACTGCACAGGAAGCATTTCATGGAGCTCCGGCAGCAACCAAAGAACCTGAAGGTGCTGGAAGCTTTCCTTCCTCCTCTTCCAACCTCTGTCCTGCCGGGCAGGCTGGGCTGTGTGCTTGCTGCCTCCTCTGTGCAGCATCCGTGCTGCAGAGCCACCGTTCTCCACCAGCACCGTGTGCTCTCCCCTGCATCCCTTCCCTTTGCGTAGGGCTGCTCTGGTTTAAGAAAGTTGGGGGCTGTTATAGCAAAGAGCTCACTGTGGGTTTTTTAAGTGCCATGCTGCTTGAGGCTGTTGGGTAAAATAGGAGAGTGCTTAGCAAAGTATTACAGAACTTGCTATTGATGAGCTGTGCTTTCTTCATGGCCTTGCTGGTGTCAGCAAAAACCCTGATATGGAAAGGGGTTGGGTGATGCTTCCTCGCTTTCAGAGTCAACTGGGAGAGAACACGGGTGTGCTGAGCACTGTGCTCTGTCCCAGTTTGGCCACAGGTTAATTAGAAACCTCTGAGCTGCTTGCTAGGGGACATTTCTGTTCCCCTGAAGGGCTAAAAAAGCACGTTGCTTTTGTTCACTTTGTCACACCCTCGCTAGTTCCCAGATCTGCAGTCTCTGTGCAGCGCATGGTCGAGGCAGGGGAGGGAGCTTGTGGAGGCCTTGGTGAGGTAGCAAAACGGGAGGCCTTGAAAAAGCAAACGCTGTTGGGGAGGCAGGCGGGGAGGTGATGGGCTGGGTGACCTGTGGGAAGCAGGGGTAGAAGACGAAAATGTCCTGGGCTGAGGTGGGCTTAGTGGATCCCATTCCTGGCCCAGCCCGCGGTCAGTGCCGAAGCAGGGCCTGAGCGGACGCTGCTCGTTAGATCGCTCTGTGTGGAGCACACCCTGCTCAGCCGGGTACGGGGGCAGGAGGCAGCGCAGGGCGCGGGGGAGCTGTGGCTGTCTCTCACCAACCTGCCCATCTGGATGTGCTGTAACCTCGCCATTCCCAACGCTCTTCGTGCTCTTCACATCGTTCCTTCCTTGGCAGGCTATGGAAATGCAGATCAAAAAGCAGTTCCAGGACACATGCAAAGTGCAAACTAAGCAGTACAAAGCACTGAAGAATCACCAGCTGGAAGTAACTCCAAAGAGTGAGCACAAGACAATTTTGAAGAGTCTGAAGGACGAGCAGACGAGGAAGCTTGCCATCCTGGCAGAGCAGTATGAGCAGAGCATCAACGAGATGATGGCCTCACAAGCGGTAGGTGCAGGGCCTGGCACCTCCTGCCCCAGGGCGAGGGGTCCCTGGCAGAGCCGCGCAGGGGTGGGGGTGCAGCCGGCCCATCAGTCGGCACTGGATGGTTAGCGATGCAGTTGTGTTCGTAAGGACTGTTTCAAATAACGCGTCAGGTGGCACTTTCCCTCTTGTAATAAGCATCCTGCAGAACGTGCTTTCCCCGCTGCCCCTCACGTGCTGGGCTTTTAGAAGCGGATCTTCTCTGAGGCTTCTGCCTCCGTGTGAGGGGGGAAGCAGCTGCTTATGAAGCCCTGCTGCTTTCTCATTCTGCCACCACCACCAGAGGCTCCCCGGCTTTGAGAAGGAGGAGCGTTTTGTCACTAGTGTCAGAGCAGAGAAGTTACTAGCAGAGGTTTGTCTGAACGTTGTTTTCGCAATGATCTTACAGCTACGGCTGGATGAGGCCCAAGAAGCAGAATGCCAAGCCCTGAGACTGCAACTCCAGCAGGAGATGGAGCTGCTCAACGCATACCAGAGCAAAATTAAGATGCAGACAGAAGCACAGCATGAAAGAGAACTCCAGAAGCTGGAGCAACGGGTGTCGCTGCGCAGGGCACATCTTGAACAAAAGGTACGCTTCGGGTGGGCAGCTGGGGTGCCTGGGCGCATCGACACGTGTCAATGACGTCGATGCTGCCTCAGATGTGGGGCTGGCACGGTGCAGCCGGTGCCACCGGGCCGGGAGCTGCCGTAGCCGGGGCGGGCACGCGCTGCTAAGGGGCTGCTGACGCTGGCTCC